ATAGGTAAAGAAACAGAAGAAAACAAACCCTATTCTCTAATACTTACTTTGTGCATGCAAATTTGCAGGCTAAATGTTCACAATCTATCATCTTCTCATAACTGAAGAAGCCTATTTCACAGTGTTAACAAAAAGGAAGAAAATCATCAGCCTCCCCATGTCATTTAAATCCCTCCCAAATGTAGCACTATCTTGTAAATACTCCACTGTTGTGTCATACCAAACCTGTTAGTTTTCTTCATAATTAAAAATCCTCATCTCACTTAAAAAAACTCTCAAAGTGATCACACTCCTACCCTCCTTGGCTTCCCCTGTCCAAATGAAGGGGAGACTGATCAGCCTGGAACTTATAGTCTGTCCCAACATTCCAGCATTCCAGAATGCCAAAACTCCAAAGCACATTCTAAATGACCATGGTCAACATTCTAAATGACCATTATGGGCAACCTCCTAAATGACATCCCTTTCTCCCTCTGATAGGGCTTCCTTCACATCTTCATCACATCATGGACCTCAATAAATAACATTAATTCGGAGCTAACCTTTTCAACACTCTATATTTCTACTCAAGCGTTCCACAGATACAGTATGTAGGCCTATACAGGTTGAAGAAGTAGTCATATTTAAAAAAAAATACTGTCCTGCATTCTGCATTACTGAAGTAAAAGTACAAAAGTAACTGTATCAAAATATACTTAAAGTACCAAGAGTGAAAGTACTCCTTATGCGTAAAATGGCCCATTTCAGAAATATATATTAAATGACTTGTGATTATTGATGGTAGTGTGTTTATCACAGCTGGTAAAGGTAGAACTAATACAAAATATTGTTCTACTGATGGAAATCCTAACCTATATTTATATACCATAGTCTTTTCAATAATTAATTTTTGTAAATAAAATAAATGTAACGGAGTAAAAAGTACAATATTGGCTTCTAAAATGTAGTGGAATAGTGTATAAAGTAGAATAAACTGAGAATACTCTAAAGTACGCTAAAGTACTGTGCTTGAGTAAATGTACTTTGTTACTAACCAACACTGGATATTACCGATACAAAATATTGCATATTGAAAACTACTTTCATTGCAGAGACTGTTTATAAAGTTGCTATTTGCATTTTTGATTATAACTATATATTTGGTATAACTACAGATTAAGTCATATGACACAAATCACATGACTCGCAAATAAACCCCACCTCTCGTGTCTGATTTGAGGACACTTTTCAAAGCAACACTGTGATTGGTTGAGAGAGGACGTCAGTTACTTTGGGTCCTTGTGGTTAGTTATTTAATAACAAACGAAGGTTGCGAGAGTCATGGGTTTTTGTTTTAGTTTAGTCTGACTCTATTTCTGATCTCACAGTGGAAACAATGCGTTTGTACATCGCAGCTGTTCTTTTGTGGGCTGTAATAGGTAAGAGACAATATTTACATTGTGTTTTCAGTTAGCTGCATGCTATTATAACAGCTAGCGCATAGCAGTCAGTGTTATTACAGCGTGTTTTCATGAAGGCTTTTGTTCAGATTACTTAAGGAATACTTTCAGGAATACGTCTTCCACAGCAGTGGTACATACTCGCAGTTCATACATTTAAAGGATAGAGGTTGTACTATACTATTATTCACTATAACTATGATACCAGTGTTGTGCAATATGTTAGCTAATATTAGTATTACTACTGCCTGCTACTTCTTAGCATTACATGTCAACAAACATGAACTATATTTATTTTGTAAATATATTTATTTTATTTACCACTGCAATCTACCCGCTACCACACAGTATTCTACAATGTTTCCCTGCATGTGTACTATTTATTTTAAATACTATGTAACAGTTTGTTATTTTTTTAAGTTCGTCTCTATCTATACTGCTGTCACAATGTAATGATCTCCTCTGTGGGACGAATAAAGGCATTCTGATTCAATTAATGCCAAACTTCATGCAGAAATATGTAAATGTAGACTTAACTTGCTTATAAAGGCAGCATGATGCATCGTACAATATTGCTTATGATACTATGTAAGTATAACCTATTCTTTGATTCGGTATATATGTAACACGCAATGCTACATTTTAATGACTGAACTTTACTACATGTGTAATAAATAATTGTGTTATATTGTTATTCCTTCCCTTTGCTAAATGCAATATGAGGGATTGTGGGCAAGTCTGGGAGCTATTATATTTTTACAAATATGTTTTACTTGAAGAATGGCTTAATAATGTTCAATTCAGTTCAGCACTGCTCCCAGTTTACCCATAAAGTAGATTTTATATATACGACTAAACTGCACAAAAACTCCTAATTAATTTCTTTATTCATCCGTAACATCAATATGATATGCTTTTTGATAAGTACATAGCATGCGTGCAATAGTTTTAATTCTATATTCAGACTGTCTAAAATATTTAGTTTAGTTTTTATCTGGGCACTTATGCACTAACTTTGTCTTTTTGCTGCTGAAACACTGCACATTTCCCCACATGCTGGGACTAATAACGCATTCTCTTATGTTAATTGTTCAATTTCCCTACAAATGACTGGCAAAAGGCATCCGTTCATTGTCTGCTATGGGCGTAACATTGGAAAAAAGATTTGACTGAATTGCCACATCTGTTGTAGATATTTGCTGTGACCCTTTGTAATTGATAAGGACACGTGACACGTTATTACATATCAGATGCATTATGTTATGAGTATTACATAAATAACACTTGTTATGCTTGTTTTCAGCTTCAGAGGGAAAAGCAGTCCCTTCTCTTCCACATTTTGGCAGCAGCTATCATGTCAAAGGTAAGCAGTACATGCACATTACACATTTGAGCCTTTTCCTTATAATGTTGTTTTATTACAGGATAACATGTTTGACCTTTCCATTGCAGGGGTGATCTCTCTGCCCTATGCTGAGATCAAGGAGCCTTTTCAGGCCTGGTTTGATCTAGCGGCAAAGTCCAGCCGAATAGACTACTACCATGGTAAGAAACCACATGACTTTCCTCTTAAAGCTGACTCTGGGTTTTTCCTGCTTGGCTGGATTATTGATGTGAAACTGAAGACCTCTTGTGTCAGACCTTTGTGAGCACAGCAGAACATAAGCACATAAACAAAGAAGTGAAAAAGAAAGAATAAGCACTTCTGGAGAAGTTTCACTGTTACCTCGTGTTACAGCTCATATGACTTTGAGTCTATTACATTCTGTCTTGTTTGAGATTATGTTATAGGATTCTTCTTTTGTATCCTTACCATCTTCGGGAAGTAAAATGTCGGATTGAACTTTTCTCTGTTACGGTTAGTAAGTGGCAGTTACCAATTTGTATTTAAGTATCCCAAATCATACATTTGCGTCATGGGGTTGCACAATCTGTACATAGGGTGAAAAGAAAATTAGTTATATGAGAGTTTTGGTCATTAAAAGAAATGGAAAAGCCTAATTATCCGGCTCATATGAGTATTTAGTGTCTACTGCGACATGTTTCCGTGCTTTAATGTTCAAAAAGCTCTTTATTTTTCTCGTACTGCCTGTGCTGCAGCAGCTTTTTTCACCCTCTGTCTGAAACCAGAGCCCAGTCTGATTTGATTGGTTAGCTGGCTGGCTCTGTTTTGATTGGTCAACTGCTGAGAGATGTCCCACCCTATCATAAAGCATATCAATAGAAGCACTAGAGCAATATAGTGATGTCATTATGTTACTGAAGTAAACAAAAGGTGTCTCACATTGTTTGTCAACAGGCCAGGTGTCGACCTACCAGCTGGGTGCAGAGCCGCAGTGGGGCGTTGCTTATAAAATCTCTCCAGAGACCACAGAGACGGAGCAGAACGTGATGAAGTGTTTCCAGACCAACGGAACGGCCGATGAAGCCGTCACCACGCAGGCGTCTCTGCCCGATGTGCAGGGCTTCCAGGTCTGTGAGTGTAAAGACGCTCGGTGCAGTATCTCAGCACCAAAACAAAGTTGTGTAATCTCAATCTCAATCTTTATTTATTTATATAGCACATTTAAAAACAACCTTATTATCAAATAACACAATGGGAATAAAATAATAAAACTATGATTAAAAACTAGAAACACATAAAAACACATACAAATGTAAACATGTTATGTTCAACTAGTGTTAAAAGCATATACTGTATATATACAGTAAAAGTTAAAAGCAAGTGCAAAGAGGTGAGTTTTTAGCTGAGATTTAAAAACAAATGTTGATATCAGTTTTATTAACTCAAACAAACTTGAAAACTGTTATTTGTTGCTATGATAATGAACCAAAGCATTTCCTAGATTATTTTACAGCATGGAAAAAATAATCCCTAAAATAAGAACTTCTACAAAAAGCACTATTTACTTCCCCCCCTCCTGGTGTATTCTGTGACCTATACTATTAAAATATAACTTCAGACTGAACCTGAGCAGACAGATTTTAAAGCGGGTGTTGGCAACTCTGCACTTATTTACACTTAAAGGATTTATTTGCAGACCTCCAAGAGAGGACAGTGTGTGCAAATAAATGGCACTCTTGTGAGATTTAGGTTAGGGGCTCGGGTAAAACTGGGCTACATACATCAAAACATCATAGTTAACATCATCCTCTTTACAACAGGATACAAATGCATGTATTGATTTAATTTTAACTATAGGTTTACATTTAATCCAACCCTGATTTCTTCCAGATGCAGAAATATTCAATTATGTGTGTTTACCATTCACAATGTTGATAATAATATTAATAATAATAACAATAAAGCTTTATTTTTATAGCACTTTTCATACAGTATGTGCATCTCAAAGTGCTGTAACAACACGGCACACATTTAAATCAGATAACAAGAAATTCAATTCAGGTCAAACGTTTAACCTTTTTACACACAGGCAGCAAAAAAAACATCGTTTAAAAATTCAATGAACATAAGGAGGTAAAAAGGTACAATAATAAAAGAGTACAATAAAATAAATAATGTTCCAAATGTTCACAATCCTCTCAGTACAACAAAGGAAGACATAAGATAACATGAATAAATACATTAAAATATTAAAAACTATAAATAAATGAATATAACAAATTATAATAATGATGATTTAAAGACCAATTAAAAGGAGGATGTCCCTAATAAAAACCTAATCTAGAACAATATGTCTTCAGATGTCGTTTAAAAAGGTCCATTGAGTTTGCCTCTCTGATATTGATGCCCCCTCCTCCCCCATAGTTCCTGAGGATGGAGTACTTTGGAGGGTCCCTGTGTGAAGTGTGGCAGAATGTGACCACTGTGGGTCACAAGAAGAACACCTACACACTGTGGGTGACACACTCAGAGCGGGGGGCAAACAGCAAGGGGGATCCAGCCACTCCGCTGCATTACGAGATGATGGGATACAACACGCTGCTGGGCTCACATTACGACAAATACCTGGTGGACTACAAAGAGTTCAGCCCTCATGTGGACCCCAAAGCCTTCTCCCTGCCTGAAGGTGTGTGCTCTGCTGTAGGTCCAAACATCCAGAATTGTTTTTAAAAAGGACCTATTGTGCAAAATCCACTTTTTCCTGTCTTTTCTACATAAACATGTGTCCCCTCTGTGTAAAGAGATTCTGAAAGTTTCAGCAACAAAGACCCCCTCTCTTTTTGTCCTGATCCATTTATATAAAAACCCGTCTGAAAATGAGCTGATCAGATTTTGGCCACTTTATGATGTCATAACAATGTTTTGGCTTGTGTCACCATTAGCCAATCACCAACCAAGGTAACCCCCCACCTTATCACCTGAATCTCCTCCTAGAGCACCATTGTGTTTGTAACCAAATATCTCTCAGAAGGGTGTGGGGAGGGGCTCCTTATTTTCATCTAAAGTAACAGACAGAGAATCAGCACTTTGGAAACAGGGCTGAAACAGAGGGGATTATGGGAGGCTAAAAAGATCTGTTTGGTGTTTGGAGGCAAACACTTCAGAGACATGTGTTGTATATATCTGAGACCTATAATATATTGATGAAAAAGAGTATAATAGGGGACCTTTAAAATAAAAACCATAAACATTATAAGAGAAAAACAGTCATTTAAGAAGCAGTTTTTCAGATTAAAGATGATTTCTTCGTATTTCCTTATTATTATTAACTCGTAATAGTTGATCCAACACACTTTCTGCTACTTTATGATGCAGGAAGGCAATTTGTTGCAGGGAAGCGCTTCCTGCTGGACGAATACTGTCATTGCACAAGGAAATAATAACAAATAAATAAAGTTTTTTTTTTTTATAAATAATTATATATAATATTAATAAAATGTTTAGCTTAATACACCTATCCTTTTATTATTGTGTACAATTCCCTTTAGATGTGTACGCTTCCACCGATATATGATAATAATAATAACAATAATAATAATATGATTATGTAGTTAATAATATAATTATAATATTGTATTATTTATAATATTTATCATTATTAGAATTATTATAACAGGTGTTTGGTGCGTGTTAACGGTCACAATTAACAAGTAGGAGAATCAATGTTATAACTAATTATTATTACATTTGGTTGTAGTGGTTTTAGTAAGAGTTTAAGTAGTAATAGCAGTAATTATATCAGAATTGGTAATATTAGTACATTATTATTCTATATGCATACATATAATTCATGACCTACACATGTAAAATAGAAATGTACAATAATACGATTATAACATTTGTTAAATTCTAAAGTTCTCAGTATGACTGTATAAGATTGGTTCATGAGTACAAAAACAAATACTCTGTGAAAAAAGTCAATCAACCACCCACCCACTTTCGAACTCGTGAGGTAGTTAGAAGGGGTGCATTTGAGGGGTGTCGCGGTAGGACCAAGAGCGGAGTCGTCTGCTCCTTGCTTACCGAGCGGATCGACGAGTGTTTTACTTACACGGGACCCTTCACCTTCCACATGCTCTTGCTTCGTCTTAGACACCCGACCTAGTCTGACTACCAGTTGTAGCTCCCTAGTGTGTTATTCAAATTAATTTAATCAAAAATTTTATTACTATTAATATCTATCTCTATACCTTTTATACCAATGATAGTAACTAAAATTCCAGTTACGATACATAAAAAGAGCAAGAGCGTCTCCTCTTATGTAAACCTAAATAATATAAGATTAATTATAAACTACCTCATCCACCCGTACCATATACACCCCTTAAAAGTCTCTTTGAAAACTATTTTACACACCACCGGTGTACACGTTTTCGTATACTAAAGAAGTAAACTGATAAAACCGTGTTGAAATCAGCAAAAGATAGCAAAAAATCTTGGATCACGAAAGAGGAGTTAAATTTACCAAAACTAGTAACATCTGTTGGACGTATGCAGGTGGTAAGAATTTCACTTATGGCTTTTAGAAAGTAAATCTTCCAAAAAACATTCTTTTTCTGTCATACTTCTTAATTATAAAATCTTAGTTTTAAATATAACTTTACCAAAAGTCCTATAACTATACAAGACACTTTAAATATACAGTATATATACTATATTACTTCTAGGTAGTCTCTTCTATCTTATAATATATATTATCCCTATTCACATACATAGTAGTAATACTTTTCATCCAATTACAATTATTAAATATAGAGTCATAAATATTAATTTATTCCTCTAGTCATAGACTTCTTAATTCTTTATGAAATCTTTTATGGTGTTCTTTTGTTTGTCTTCTTGTAACCTCCAATATTAATAGTCCTATATAAAACTTACGCGTGTCCTACGAATTAAGTATTTATTTTGTTTTCGAAGGACTTTGTATTGTGTTGATCGCAGTCATACCAGAAAAGTGTGTAAGTAAATACATAAAATACAATAACGTCACAGATGTTGTATCATTTAGTTTGACTTTTTTGGAGTTTGGGACTTCGTTTTTAGTTTGTGCCGTGCTTGCAATTGAAACCAAAAAGCCGGCACACTCGTGCTAAGCACAGCCTTCTATGTCTGTCTAAGTAAAGCATAGTACACAAACCTGCGATTTGAATATAACTCTTAGTTCTCCAAAAACCTCTGTCTTGCACAATGTCCACGTAGGGTAGACACAGGACAACATTGTGTTATATTGCAACATACGCTAGATGATACATCACAACATCACCAGGACAATTACAACGCAATAAAGATGTAAAGTATATGCTACACTAGTAAATTGTCTCTGAGGTACTATCCGTACAAAAACTTACATTTATACCAGCCAAACGATAAAGTGCATATAGATACCGCAGTCTTGCGGACCCTAATACAGAGTAGTACCTACTCTAAACATACTTCCCACAAAGTTATTAGAATAAAGGAGTAGTCGTCACACTAGATTTTTAGTTCCTTTCTTCGACTTCCCAAAAGTTTAGAGTACTACTAGTAAGTCCTCGAGACTTATCTCTGCTTTATATTGTGTGTTATAAAAAAGTAGCACCTTACAGACGTTCTATCTAAGATATTGAATTACATAACTCTCAAGGTTTCGTTAATGTCCCTTAAAACCAACTATTAACTTATTTCAGCTAGAAATATTCTTACATTAGATGAATATGTACCTTTATATCAATAATATAAATGTGAACTTTCCAGAGTTGATCTATATAACCAGATTGTGATAACCAGTGTCAGTGAAGACACTTAACAACATATAAAAATATCACAAAAGTGACAACTACTTACATAACTAAGCTATGCTGCGGACTGCGGGACTGACAAACGCAGCGAGCGCCTGCAGCGGACCCGCATAACCGGCTTCATATTAATCTAACCAAGCTAACTGAAGAGACCGCACTCGACCTCATCTGTAGTGTGACAGTTTAACGGCAAATTCGGCTCCGTGCAACCTAAACAACCAGACATACCACGTCAGTCACCACCGTATTATTAGAGCAGGACCCATCGAGATCAGTCAATCCTGCCCTACACCATCAAACGATAACGCATAGACGTAAATTCTTTCTCCAGTTAGTGTCCATCATAACAGGCTTCAATGAAAGTGGAGCTTCGTATCGTCTCTGTCTCTTCTATTCGTCTTCACTCCATAGCACCTATATCATATATTTGTTGTTATATCGGCAAAAAAAGAACAGGTAAAAGACTCGAGTAGCAAACACTCCACAAGATGGTATTACTTTTTCGTACTTGTCTTGGCCTCGATGAATATTGTGACACGATAACTTACTCCAACTTTATTCCACATGCCCACTCCGAGCAAAGAGACACATCAAGCGTATATAGAACGGTTAAATTTTAGTAAACAAATGAGAAAGAGGAGAGACACATAGACTGTACAAAAAAAAACACCCTCCACATTCCCTCCTCGTAGCATTGTGGAAGGCAATTGCGAAGAGTACCGTGACTAAGCGGATCGCTTCCGTCCGGTAGTCACAATAGGCGAAACAGGCGGCTGAAGGCCACAAAGGACTGCTGGCTAAGTTGTACCAGAACTTTTTTCTGGGCTGCCACCCCGCCGCGTGTCGGTGAGGCTTATCCCCGCACCGGGTGCGAGCTACAAAGCCCGTGGCTGAGGGTAAATGATTATCGGAGTCTAAAGCCCGACCACATAGTCTTCCGAGAATTGTAAAATGACTACTAGCATAAGTATCACGTATTTTTCTAATGTTTTTGTTTTACAGGGATGCATAGTAAGCTACTATAATTTATAGGTACATGTCTATTGGTTTAAGTGTAGTCTTGTGATTTTAGCGATCTTCGTATTTGAATTATAAGTAGAAAGATATTAAAATAGTCCAAATAAGGTAAATAATTATTCGTAAAATAAAAAAAAGACCCGTACTTATATCATATTACATTTTTATCTTGATATCTCTCTAGGGATATCGCTCGGCTACTGTCTACTCTTCTGAGTTATAATTTAATGAGATCAAATTTAAACGGTGGGAGGATTTGATCTATATATTATGTTTTAGTCAATTCTAGAATTAATTATTAAATTCACCAATTATTATGGAGTAGACAAAAGAGGTGGAGGTGTGAGGAAGATATACTTATTGTTGTTTGTTTGTTTTAAACAGTCTGTTGAGGATGAAAGTCGGGATAATGTATTGGAGGGATTTTATAAGTAAAAAAAGAGCGGATTTTTTTGAAATTCAGAAGAGATGTATTACGGTGAACAAAAATAGTTCCTATTGTTTGATGAGATTAAACATATGAATGTTATCAGAAACTTTAACGGACGTTGTTATATACTCATAGATCTAATAAACCTATGTTTTCTAAGAACATCACAGACCTTATATATAAGTTTAGACATAGACGTGCTGGGTGGTCTAGTATCTCTAGGGTTTCTGTTACGAAATATATGCTCACGTCAAGGTAGTGAAGATTGGGTCACCTTATCACATTGTATTATAGTACAGTAAAACGATGCCTGTAATCTAATGCTATTTTAATCATGCGAAGCTATTCTTCAGTACGCCTGAGATTTTTGTATTAATACGCAATAAAATCCCATAAAACTAAAAATAGGTAATGTTAGGTAGAAGCGAGATCAATAATTGAATAATTGATTGAAGTCTCTGAGGACCTAGTAGTGCGTTAAGAGATAAAAACTAACCCAATAAATCACGGCTAACAGAACCGAATGCGTTAAGAATAATACTCCTTCGTAATATCAGTTCCTGTGCATACATTCGTAATTATAAAACAAAAGAATTAACAATCACAATATCATAAACGGTAATAACGATGACAACGTATATATTTGTTTTCCATTTAGATGGACTAAAGTCTCCATTCTTTTCCTCAGAGTGAAGAATTGTTTTCTGAACAATTTGTTTTTACACACATAACTATATAATAATATCTAGGGTGAACAGTGAACCTGCAAAGATGTGAGTCGGTTATTTTACATTTATGTTACAACACAGGACCGAATTAGTTACTTGTCAGTTTAGGGTCAACAGGCTTTAGACTTTTGTCGTAGTGATTAGTCCCACATTGTGTCGATCTTTCGAACCGTACCGATCCCGTATCTTTCTTTTCGCCGTAATACGTGATCTCGTTCTCTTCCACCTTTCTCTCATCCTCATCATCCTTTCCAATCTATTTCAAAAAATAAAGGCTAACGTTTGTTGTATTATTTTATCCTGAAATAATCCTACGCCAAGTTCTTAGGTGCCTAGACTTTCCACCGTCTGATAATTGATACCAGTTCAATTGAGCCAACTAAAAAGATATTTAATTTACACATCGTGCTGTACTTGCATATTCGCTTGTTGCTTGTGGTCATAGGTTGTAAACGGTCGTAACGAGGAAACCAAGTGTCGTTTAACCACCGAATTGGGTGGTGGACGTGAACCCGACGCCGCAACCCGTACCTGAGATTTTGAACCTTTTTGTATGTTTTTATAATGTCATCGTCGCAATAAACCGACTCCTTTACTCTCGCCTCGTGTTCCTGACGATACAAATAGATACCTATAACTATCGATTTACCTATATATTTATGTAAATAGACGTTCTTAAGGTAGAAAATATGTTGAACGTGCATTTAATTAATTGTTACCTCAAAGAATGACAGAGTAGGTCGAAATTTTAATTCTCACTTAAAAATTTCACCGTGTATGTGTGTCTCTGCGAAAACCCGTTTTGACGGTGTCAACAATGCGTAGATGTGATCCGAAACCGAGTGACGGACGGGCGTAACTCGGCAATACGCAATCGCCAACGATCACCGCTATACCGTCAAAATGTCGCCCATATCCGAGCACGTACTTTATTGTTGTTGTCTATCTTTGTTGTTAGTCTCATTCTGTATACCGACGCCGTCTTCAGCGAAAAGCTATGTCCCTTCCAGACTGGGACACACACACACACGACACACACACACACACACACACACACACACAACACCACACACACACACACACACACACACACACACACNTTGTGTCACCATTAGCCAATCACCAACCAAGGTAACCCCCCACCTTATCACCTGAATCTCCTCCTAGAGCACCATTGTGTTTGTAACCAAATATCTCTCAGAAGGGCGTGGGGAGGGGCTCCTTATTTTCATCTAAAGTAACAGACAGAGAATCAGCACTTTAGAAACAGGGCTGAAACAGAGGGGATTATGGGATGCTGCAATGATCTGTTTGGTATTTGGAGCAAAACACTTCAGAGACATGTTTGTATATATATCTGAGACCTATGATATATTGATGTATAATCGGGGAACTTTAAAGTTTAAAAGGGTTAAAACACACTTTATTTCCCCCCTACAGGGATGAGCTGTGGGGGATTTCCTGGTCCAGGCGTGGAGCACCACATGTTGGCCAATCCAATGAAAGATCTCATCCACACCTCAGCTTCCGGCCAATCAGAGCACATGTTCAACCATTTCAAGGACAAGTTTCAGCGTCAGTACAGCGATGAGAGAGAGCATGAGAAAAGACAGCACGCTTTTATTCATAACCTCAGGTGAGAATAACATTCAACACTTTTTTTCTTTTACATTGTTGCAAAAATCTATTTTTATTTAAATGTCACAACAACAAAAACAACAACGACAAAACTATGTAGGAATCTAACAAACATTGTAGACTAGTCAAAATGAATATGTTTTCTCACTGCAGGGCATTTTGTTGTGTAAGAAACTATTTTAATTGTATTATAGAACATACAAAACACTACATCCTATAAACAAGGATAAAAGTGTAGCACACAGAGCGCAGAAATTGAGATTTAATTAATTAATTGGAAAAAAGTACGATATCAGAACGGTAATAAATGAAAATAAGAAGCTGATTGTACCACACAGGGTACGAATAACAGTAAATTAAGTAGAGCTTTCTATTAAAACAATATGAACTTTCTTAATGAAAACAGGCTAGCTTAATAGCAGTCCGTCATGGATAAAGCACTAGTTCAAACTGCAGGGTTTCTGATGACTGTCTTCTTGTTTCTGTAGGTATGTCCACTCAACAAACCGCGCAGGGCTTCCCTTCTCTCTGGCTCTGAACTCTCTGTCGGATCGCACCATGTCGGAGCTGGCCACCATGAGGGGGAGGAAACGAGGAAAGACCCCGAACAGAGGGCTCCCCTTCCCCTCAAAGCTTTACCAAGGGGTGAACTTACCTGAGTCACTTGACTGGAGGCTTTACGGTACGTACAAATATATCATTGTTTTACCAAAGACGGTTCTTTCTTCCTGGGGTTCCTAGTGTTAAACTCCTCTCTGTGCAGGTGCTGTGACCCCGGTGAAGGACCAGGCCATCTGCGGATCCTGCTGGAGCTTTGCCACCACTGGAACAGTAGAGGGCGCTCTCTTCCTGAAGGTAAAGGATTTGAAACCAGCAGCTCTCGCACTGGCCACTCTCCGGTGTTTCCACACTCCCTTATGCTGTTTGTAGCCACAGATGATCAGCATGGCGCTTCATCTGCTCATGTTTTGGTTGATTTTCACCGCAGTTATGTTTGGTGTTAATATATCTTTGGCATTTTTCTAAATGTTGAAAATGTGCAAAATGTCACTTTAATAGTGTTTGTAGCTGTATGAAGGGAATTTGGTTATTTAGGCAGGATAAATACAGCACATTTCATAGAAACAAAGAATAAAAAAGTAAGGTAAATTTTTCTGACAATTTTCCAAAGATAACACTACAACAGCACAAGAAAGGAAATAATCAGAATCAGAAATTCCTTCTTTGTCCAGAGCAGGGAAATGTACTTTTCACAGCAAATGTACAGTGCAGGCATAAGGCAAAATAGAGTAAGTAAGCCTATTGTAAATTATACAAGACCTAATTATGCTGTTCCATTTTAAACTCCTGAAATGGCCAGTATGAAACATATAGTAAAATATAATGTTGTGTGAACTTGGACTGACCATTTGAGTCTATTTTCAGTAACCAAAGTGTAACGATTCGGTCTTTGATGCCCTAATTTGAGTTGCGGCCCCCCTGTTGTGTCCTTTTAACCCTCTGCGGAGTGTAGAAAAGTCGCTCCCTTCGAGAGGACGGTGTGGGGGGGTGGGGGGGCTGTCGGTAAGAAGAGTAATTGTTCCACACTGACGTTAGCAGAACGTGACAATGTACTGGCTCCGCCTGCCTCCGCAAGCCGGCAAGCTCAAAGCGCCATCGTTTTCTGTGCCAGGCAACTAGTTCAATCATTGACGCTGTATCGAATGCTGAAGCACCCATCGTGAAAGACCAAATCTTGAACTCTTTTACCAACACTCTGATTCTTCCTTGCCTGGCCAGTAGCCTGTAAGGGATGAGTGTGTGACTGCAGTGAAAGATGGAAGGAGTGGTCATTATAAAATATTCAGTTGTGTTCTGAAGAAAGCATCATTAAAATGTTTCTTTTTAGTATTTACGTTAAATGTTAGCGTTTACGAAAATGACAAAAGATTCTCACTGGAAATGTAGCACAGAGAGTAGAGATACATGCATTCTTTCTATTAAAGCTATTTCTGTGTTTTCAGACTCAGTTAGGTTAAGAGTATAGTTCTGTTGTGTGGGGCTCTCCCCCGCCTAGCCCAGCAGATTTCTATGCCTTTGCCAGCAGCGCAGCGCAAGAACTGACTGATAGTGGCTCTTAAACAGGCTCTCTCCATCTTGTTTACTCTCATCAAGTCATTTGTTCTCTCATATCAACAGCTGTGTAAAAATAATATCTGACATGAACTTTATTTTCCCAAACATTAACTTTTTAGTGTCAGAAAAAAGATTCATGCGTAGTATGCATCTGGTGGATCAGGTTGTCTGTTGTTTCGACGGGGCTCTCTGCAGGTTTGTCCCAAGCAGATGCTGGTGGAATTGTTCCTTGGGTTCTGGCATAACGGCTGCTATGGAGGGGAGGATGTGGAGAGGGTTACTAGTCAGCCATGACATGAGGCATCGCAAGAACAGAAACCTACGAGTACCTACATGGGGATGGCTAGAATGATACAAATATGCAGCCTGTAGCTGTGTAGCAGTCAACATTTAAAAAGACCAAGCCCAATTAAGAGTTTTCTCTTAAGGATGTAGCCAATGAAGTGTTTTCACTTCGCTGACACAATTATAAAACACTTTAAACACTGTAGAGCTCTTTCATTGTAATTATTCTATCTCAGATTGCCTTTTTGAAAGTTGTTCTCTCCCTGCGAACCTGTAATAGAAAAACTCTCCTAATTAACTTATATGGGAGCCGTAACTGCGTCCAAACTCTATTACTCGAAGAATGAAAAAGATACCGTCTGATGCTCATTTTTCAGATAGTTGTGCTGTACTAGCGCTTAGCAGACATAACTGACTCTACACGACGCACTGCTCCTATATTCTGTGTTATTCACTCTCACTCGCACATCAACTCGTGCTAACAAATTACTATATATTATAGTAGGGTGCACCGAATATTCTCTAGCGCCNTATGTGTTGAAGCCACTATGTGAGTGCCTGAGTATGAAAGCTGCCTGATATCAGACGTGTTGAGGCGCTGTGATCACTTCACAAGGAGCTGCTTAGTGATCATTACATTACATTACATTGCATTTAGCTGACGCTTTTATCCAAAGCGACTTACAATAAGTACATTCAACCAGGTAGATACAACCTTGAAGAAAACAGAATCATATAAGTACATCAGGTTTCATAGAGCCAAACATTTCCAGTGCTACTCAACTGGCTTTAGATAAGCCAGCCCTTTATTAGTATATAAGTGCTCTGTTAGCAGTTCTTTGTTAGTAATTCTATCGCTCGAAGTGGAGTCGAAAGAGATGAGTTTTCAGTTTGCGCCGGAAGATGTGCAAGCTATCTGCTGTCCTGATTTCAATGGGGAGCTCATTCCACCATTTTGATCATTATGTGTTGCTGTTGAATAACAGGGTGAAATAAGAGGCTGCACAGAATAAGCTCACATTTCCAAACACAGTTTTTAACAAGTGTATTGCTGGTGCCACAAATCTGCAGTGCCTTCAATTCAGTTGTACAAAGTACATTTTTTCACATTTAAATATTTTACTTTGTTGCATTCAAATGCAATGGACTGGAATCAATGCAATAAAAAAGAAATACGGTTTTATGGCGTCTGTGGCCCTTTTCTTGGTAAGCAAACACTGTTGGGCAGCAGCAATGCATGCTTTAGCAGAGTCATGCATTAGAATGAGGATTCACTGAGTTCTTGTCGATGGGAATAATAGATTTTGGAGAACCAGATTCCTTTTGCCTGAGGGACATGGCATAATACATAACCAGTGCTCCTGATGCATGCCTTTACCTGTATTACACATTCATATTTATAAAAATGACAGTCCTTCAAAACTTCATGTAAAAGTCAACAGTACCAGATATTTCAGTTTCAATAGTAATGGTAAATGGTAAATGGACTGTACTTATATAGCGCTTTATCCAGTCTTTAAGACCCCTCAAAGCGCTTTACATACTACATGTCATTCACCCATTCAAACCCATTCATACAGAGCAGTGTACCTTACTCTAGGACCTAACATTCACACACATTCACACACCGTTGGCCATGCCATCGGGAGCAACTCAGGGTTAAGTATCTTGCCCAAGGATACACCGACATGTTGACTGCATGGGCCGGGATCGAACCCACAACCTTCTGGTTGAAAGACGACCACACTCCCTCACAGCCACAGTCGCCCTTTTTGACAGTAATCCATTTGACATCCAAGTATAATTCAATACAATAAAAAAAACAGCAAACTTTTACAAACGATGCTGATATCAAATATATTTTTCACATTTTAATCACAGAAACATCCAATAGCATCCATAAAAAAAACGCAAATGAGCTACGTAAGTCAACTTAACTATGCAATCTCACTCAACTAGCTTTATTTATCTTGGCTTGAGAATATAGAAAATGAGGAAGTTTGCTTTTTCAATACAGCATTAAAGTACCACAAAGGTATTCCAGCAACAGTCCACAGACATGGTACACTTTTATATAAAAATATTAAAGTTATTTTAATAACAAACCCTTCAGTCCGAAAAAAAAAAAAGTCAATACAAACATGCAATCTGTGTGTGTGTAAACTCTGTCCCATCACGTATGTAAAATCTATCAAACCACATATCAACATTTTTATTAAAGGTGTAAACAGTTGAGCAGATTGTAAAGAAATACTTTTAACCTTCATTTTCAAAAGCTGTAGGCTGTTAAATTAGCCTTGGCAGCAAATATAAAAGCCCTGTTTGTGCGTATGTGCATTTCAGTTTGGTGTGTTTGCATAGAGCTCTTAATGCAGATCGTGTATTGCATAGAGGGTGTTGTGTGAACAGGATACACTACAGGTGAATAGGGTAGAGCATTTTATCTATGAAATAACCAGCACATTTCCCCTTAAGGAAATCATTAACCCATGTTTTCTGAAATCTTTGTTTAAATAAGCAAATCAGGAATTGGCATACATTTTCGTAGCAGAAATCCAAACATAGGAAAAAGCCAGGTTTTAAATTGTTTCATTTCGTTGACAGGTTTGAAAGTGAAAGGTTTATACAGAGGGGCATTTGGGTCTTTCTTGTTATCACTCCATGTATCAGAAAACAGCCATTAAAAAAGATAAAATAAGAATGACATATCATTTGAATCAGACTATGAATGATATGTTAAACACTTCAGAATAGATCTACAGAAGTGGTGCTGAAGTGGGGATTTCTGTCTGGGAAAAAACTTGAGAAAACTGCCTTTAACTAAATTTAACTAACCCTCTAAACTTCCATAGTTGATTGAAAATGTCTCATCTTAAGTACAGTACCTGGTAACAAAGTTGAGGTTGTTAAGTGAATAATTGAATTTGTGCACACTTCACACACAGTTAGCTAGACGATATATCTCCTGCTTTTCTGTGCTGCTTACTGATTGGCTCGTCTCCTCAGACATCTCAGCCTTCTCCTTGTCGGAAGGCGACCTGCAGGAGACCAAACACAGGGAACACACTGAGCTCTCTGCACATGGGAAAAAGCACTGCTAAGGAGCTTCAAGGACACATTAGCCAAACCAAGGTCACATTGTGGTACCTCATGTCCCAGTTCTCTGCGTCCTCCACCGTGTCTGGCAGAGGTCTGTCGGCCGTTTCGGGCAGCGCCAGGGCCAAGAGAGCCCCGAGCAGCGGGAAGGTACCAAAGATGAGCAGAGGTGTGGTGGGGCTGTGGCTGTGAAGTATGTTTATCATGGGAGCTAACACACCGCCCATCCTCGCAAACATGCAGGACACACCTAGTCCTGTTTGCCTGTACACAAAGAAGAAACAACAGCATTGGAAAAAGGGTTTTATAATAGGTATTCAAGTAAAGAGCCCATTATGCTTGTTCTTTCCTGTAGTGTGCATGTAATTGGTCTGCAAAGGCTAAATTCCCTCAGCTTCTCATTGTATCATTGTACGTGATAAGCGGCGGGAGATCTCTAAGTGTTTAACCAATCACAACAGGGTCGGCCAGCTAACCAATCAAAGCCGATAATACAAGTTTGTAAAGCGTGTATTAATCTTAATAAAGCTCCGTCAATAAATCTAAGTTGAGTCATGAAAATATTATTTACTTATAAGGAACTTTTTACCTAGTCACTAATGCTTTCTACAAGAACCTTCACATCATGTCTTGTTAGAAATGACTTTGAGATAATTTTGGATGAGAAAATGAATTGAAACTGTACTAATACATGTCTTACCGAAGCACAGTGGGGAAAATCTCAGCAGTGTACACATAGATTACAGCAAAGGACGCTGTTATGCCGAACTTTCCCACCATGGCAAGACCAGTCTGGACATGGGGATAATCTACAGGCAGAGGGAGAGTTGAGACACTTGAGTTATTTGAGGATGAGATAAAGGTTTGGAGATAGTGATGGGAATGATGGCTCTTTGAAGGGAGCCGGATCTTATGACTCCGTTCCTTAGCGAGAGCCGTTCAAAAGAGCCGTTTTTTTTTAAGGGGGTTACTAGGTTTATCTGCGAAATATACCTTTTATAATTCAATCAAATGTAGCCCTGTTTTGACTAATGATTTATATGTGCACACATATATCACTTAAATTATTCAATATATCCTTTGTACTGAAGTATTCCAAAATAAAAATTACATTTTTAATATAAATGATTTGCTGTGGCCAATTGTTTTCATTGCATTTACAGACCCTTGTAACTCTGATTGTAGAACCACTATAAAAAAAAAAAGCAGATAGCAACACCTATACAAACTGACAACAAATCTTTGCTGAGCATAAAAAAAATCATAAATAAATAACATAATGAAAATAAATATATTGCAATGGTCAAAACAGCAGCATCCAACCTTCTCTAATCCTTGGATATTACATGTCATCCTGGATTTTGCATTCATTCGTCACTTCATTTTCAGTTAATTTTTTATTTAATATATGTTTTTATTTAATTGTGACGTCCTGTCTGTATACTTTTGCTTGTACTTGTGCTTTACAATGTTTTATTTTTTTTTACATCAAGTGCTTGAGGGTGGGATTAATATAATTGTTTTTATTTTGGGTGGTGCTTTTTATGAACAGCCTGGTTGCCACGACATGCACCCCTTGCTATCTCTGACAATACACGTGTCACATACATGAAACTTGCTCCATTTATTGGTACTAGTCCTACAACTATACCCTCCAAAGTGCTTGAGGATGGGATTAATAGAAGCATCTTTTTTGGGGGGTGCATTTCACGACGGGGGTGCATAATTTGACACAACACCGGCACATCGTTCGCGACCGACACATCCCTATTTGGAGAACGATTACAGAAATCATTAAATGCACCTTCAGGAACAGCGAGCGTGAGCAGACAGGCGAGTCCTCCCACAGCCAGAAATCCACTTAGGGAGAGTCTACGACTGTAGGGCAGGACGAGCAGGACCACAGAACGGGCCGGGATCTCAACCAACCCGAACACAAACTGGGTCAGGTAGAGGTCGGTCCCCAGCCTGGACACACCCAGAGAGAGGCCATAATACACCAGCACATTCACAAACCTGGGGAGTAACGGAGGGAGAGAGAGAAATAAAACAGACAAAGAAACATGGAATGATTTGGTTTTCACTAAATATGAACTATAGAGCATTTGAGCATAAACACATACACAAATGCCTGAAACGTACCAGATGTAGAACAAGATGAAAGCCCTCTTTCTCATTTGAGGAGTTCTTACGAGATCCACTGCTGAATAACTTTGCTTCCCTCCACTTAACTTATCAATCTGGACAGGAAAACAAAAGCATTTAAAAAACAACGCTGGTGATATTCTATTTTTTTATTATTTCATACAAATCCAAGTATTAACCCAGTAGCCAAAGCATGAGCTCTGTGTTATATAGCCGCATAGCTATTTAAACAATTAAAAACACATGCATTTGCCCAACTGTGGCAGTGAGTGTTCCTTTGTTGCTATGACCTTGGGTACTGTGGGTTATTTTGAGAAAATCCCACTTACATTCCTATCCTGCTATTAATACTCACTAGAATGCCAAAAGTGCATTGTGTATCACCCACAGCTGGACATTTTCACCCAGCAAATTCACTTCTACTGTTGTTTTAAAGGGGACATATTAAACAAAACTACAGTTCACATTTGTTTAAGGAAATTAGTGAGCAATCTTGACACAATGTAGACATTGTGTAACATGTCATCTTGGCATGATTTTAAATCCGCTGTGAGATAAAGGAATTATGCAGTGTAGGGAGAAGTACCAGGAAATGGACAAACAAAGTGATGGGTTTGTTGTTTCCTTTCCATTCTAAAAAAGTTTAGTCTGTAACAGGTCTTGCTGCAGACAAAAGACACATTGAAATAGTTCAGATAGAAGGCAGTTCTGACATGCACAGAGACACACTTGTACAGCAGGAGGTAAGACACGGCCGTTCACAAGTGCTGCTTTGCGGAGGAGTGCGATGGCTTCCTCCCTTCTGTCGTTGGCCAACAACCATCGGGCCGACTGAGGAACCACCCTGACAGAGGTAAAGAGAGAGAGAGAGCCGACAGGGGGAGAAGGGAGAGGAGAAAATGCCACCACGTGGAGTAGGACAGGAAATGATCATCACAAAGAGGGTATTCATTTACTCTTGTGAAGAACTGTATGAATAAACATTGGGTTTAATGTTCAGGTGCTTGTTGAATTTCCCACCATATATAGAAGATGAGCAGGAAACCGGGGGCCGATATGGCCAGTTGCAACTTTCTCCAGTCTCGTATCAAGTATGCTACGCCCGCTAGCAGCATGTAGCCCAGACCAAAGGCGTAGTCGGTGATTATACCAGCCAGCATGCGTCTTTTGGTGCACGTCCACTCAGTGCCTTTAGAAAAACAGTGCAGGGTTTGGAACGAGAGCAGAGGAGAGGAGAGGAGGATTCATGAGGAGAGGGTTAAGCTAGGGTTGTGGTGTGGAGCTTTAAGGTTGTGGAAAGAGTGGCAAGGGTTTGTGTTGTGGGATTGGACAAAGAAAGCATGAGCAATTAACACTTTAAGTATGATATGGGAAGGTTTGACAAATGAGATGACTAGCCACTGACAGTTAAGAATTATGCCTGCTAGTAACATTACACAGGACATATAATGCTCATTTTCAAGTTTCATATTTGTATTTTGCACCTCTACTTGGACATGATTTAAAACATTCTTTATTTTTCTCATACTGCCTGTGCTGCAGCACCTCTTTTCACCCTCTGTCTGAAACCAGAGCCCAGTCTGCTCTGATTGGTTAGCTGGCCGGCTCTGTTGTGATTGGTCAACGGCTTGTAGATATCCTGCCCCTTAGCCTATCACATACAATGTGTTGGAGCACTAGCCAATAGAAGTGCGAGTGTTACGTAGTGATGTCATTGTTTTACGGATTATCCACACTTTTAGCCTTTGCAGACCATTTACATGCACAAAAACCTATGTAAGACACTGCAGGAAAGGGAAACCTCCAAAGAGCATAAAAGGGCTCCTTTAATTGTCATTGAAAATGAATAATTCACACGTGAGAAGTCTTTTGATTGCTTTGTAAATACCAAGTACAAAGGCGTTGATGATGACTCCCGATATCGTGGTGCCAACTAGAAAGCGGAGAGTCACATAGATGGGGAAGTTTGGTGCAAAGGCCACGGCGACTCCAAACAAGGTCTGAAGAGCGATGGAAAGCAGCAGGACGAAGCGTCGGCCGTACCTTACACAGAGAGAGGAGCGGAAATTAGTTTGCATGAAATAAATGATCAAACATGACTGTGACAGGGTGACCTATACAGACAAGTGTTACTGTGAGAAAATGCAAAACCTGCAGGAACGTCAACAAGATGTGAGTGTTAGTGACCCTAGAGATTTGAATGCTGTCTCTTTAACTAAAAATGATGGAGATATTGATATACTGGAGATATTTAGGATGCTCAGCATTGTGAACATCAAGCTAAGTTTGGTTGGTCCTCTCTCTTTATATCTGATAGGCATAGACACTGGGTTTTATTTATTTACGAGTCACTTTATTTACTGCGTTCTTGTCTTTTAATATGGGCCCCTATCGAACATGCTCATATGATATATTGGATTAAGTTGCAGGTACTGGTGCTGGTGCTTTTCTCATTGTGCACCAGCTGGAATAATATGCAAAACAATCGAAATTGTGTTTTCACAAAGACCTCAACTATTGTTAGCGACAGGATGTGTTTCAGGTACCAAAAGCAATACAGAAAGATGCTTAAAAGTAAAAGCAAATATAGATTTATAGTTTTATTATTATTTTAATTTGGCTTTTTATCATTTCTGTTATACTGTATATATTTCTTATTTGTATTACTTGTCAGCCATATTGAAAATTAGGTCTCTACCTTGATGTGTTCAAATAAAGGATACATTAATTAATTAAATAAAAGCTATAATTTCCTAGATTTTACCATCTTGACAGAAAAACGAAATCTTTTATGATATATTAAATAAACATTATCAGTTAAACCCCATCGCAATACAACTCATTAGCATGACCTTTGACATATGGGCCACTTGTGCAATATCTCTGAATCTGACAGTTTGGCTGTTTGTTTCGGCTTCAGGGCTTCAGGATTAAGAAGGAGAAGCTAAGCCTACCTGTCAGCCATGGCTCCAAACAGCACAGAGCCCACCAGCAGGCCGAACATGTAGACAGACGACCCGAGACTGTTCAGTCCCGCTCGGTCACACACCAGGTCCCACTGTCGGAAGGGACGAAAACACAGAAGAGATTGCAGGACAAAAAAAAAATTAACTTTTATTTTTCCATTAATAGACTGGGGAAAGTGTTAAAGCTGAAACACTTGTGTGTCAGTTCCAATCAAATTGTGCTATCAAGTGTTGTTGCATTGCAGCTGGTCAAAACAAAAGCTCACTGTGGCAACTATCAGATTCACAAAAGAAAGGCTGTGTTGTTTCTTTTGTCAAAATGAAAAGTACAGCCTTAAACCATAATTATATACCAGTCATTGCTATGTTATTGTCTTACCTTGCTAGTTTGTGCTCACCTTGCTTTTATTTTATCTTGTGATAACTCACATTTTCAGTATAATAGTATCATGTTTCAACTCTAAGTCATGTAGTTTGATTTCCTTGTGCAAATGACTAAAAAAGCAACAACATCAGCATGTTATATTATAGACCTCGGTGACTGTGGTACTCTGGAAAGTCTCCTTGCTGTACACCCAGCCCTGTCCACATGGCACACGCTCAGTCCGGTTGACATCTGAAGAGAAACAGGAGGAATCCGAGAGGCTGAAGTTCCCACTGAGTGTACCCGGTAATGAGGACTGATTCCCGGGTACTGAGCTGCTGGTCTCTCGGCAGTGGTGGGGCGGCGAGGATCCGGTGAAGATGCTCACCATCATGTGGAAAGCGAGGAGGATCTGGGGTAAACAAATCCATACGTACAGAGTTTTCTGATACCTCCCGAAGCCTCCGACTGCAGAGAGGATCTGGTCAAAATTCATTTTGGGGAAATGTAGGACAATTTGGAGAAGGAAGTGGAAATCTGAGTGTTGACACCAAGCAGACCCGTATCAGAGTGGATGTGGGGAGCTGTGGCTGGTTCCTCAGGATGTAAACAACAAGGACATCAATTCCCATGTGCTGCTAGTCCATGACATGGCCCATCTTGAGCAGTCCTGAAATAACCTGAAATGCAGAAACTTCTCCCACTTCTTGCCCCAAAGCTGGCAAATAGTTTCTCCAATCGTGGGTGCACTGCAAATACCGTAGGTCTATTAAGTGGGAAGATGGGAAAATAAGACACTTAACACGGTGCAAAACCTGGAGAAATGGAAACAGGTTTTGTAAGGTTTCTTGGAGGAGGAAACAGGCTTTGTATGTAACCGGAGGGCAGGGCTAGCCTGGTTACAAAATCTCCTAAAACAGGCTCCAATGCAACATCCACTGAAGCACTGGCTATTATAATGCCTTTTCTTCATGCAAACGATTGACGCATCAGTTGCACTTGCCATTCACAATTTTGAAATAAAATACCGATTGCTCATTTGGGTTAAACACAACACATCTTCACCAGAAATCTGTAAGAAACAATGTGTGGGCAATGTATATCCTCCTTGGCCCTCTGCTGCCATCTTCTGCTGGAAGATTGCATTACAGTGAGACCCCTCAGCCTGTCTGTCATTCATCTTTTTTTGCTTCACAGTGCCAAAATAATATGGTTAAAAAGCAGCAGGATGAAGGCAGTACCTTTCACATAGAGAGGAGCGGACCTGAGTTTGCAAAAATGAACAACACTGTGAATTAATGAGATAAACTGGTTTCATTTATACTGTGGACATGTCACCACCACTTTTTGAAAAGGCTGAGTTTGTCCCCGTTGATATTTCAAAGCATAACAAGATATTCTGCAAAATAGCTTGCACTAAAAAGTCAACCAAAACATTAAAAACCTTTTAGAAAGCTTGATATGCACAACAGAGACTCATAAAATGCAATGTAGAATAAGTCAATGTGCATCATCCTATCAATTTCATCCTATTTAATTTCCAGTAGCTCTGGTTTTGATTAATTTGCTTAAAATCTTAAGTATTCTATTTATTATTTATTTTTTACTGATTTTGGCTTTTTATAATTTCTGCTCTTATCTTTTCTTATTTGTGTTTTTAATGCCTTTGATTTGGACATGTTGCAATAGTTTTATGATGGGTTTAACAGATGAAAGAAGAAGGACCGAATGTACAAGGCAATCACTGCAGATTCAAGTTAGTGTTCAATAAAAAAAGAAATGTACACACAGTATGTCAGTTGAAAGATAACCAAACCTTGCTAGGGTAAAATGTCTCTATGTAGTAAAATGTAGTCCAACAAAAATGATATCAAGCTAAACGCGAGTAAAACAATTGAAAGATTGAAATACTCAATTTCATCAAATGTATTATTGGATGACTCAGAATTAGGTATTAGGTGTTTAAGTTTGACATTTTACAAATGTTTTGTGCATTTTATAGCCCCTTCCTGTTGTGGGTGCTCCTGACGTCACTGATGCTGGTTTTGGTGTCTGGGTGGCAGCAGGGAGAGAAACTGTAAAGTCAGATATATTTTGAACCGGAAGTGATTAGAAACAATGTGTTTCTTAGGAAAATAAAAGCACAAAAAGGGCATTTAAATGTCCAGTAAAAATGATATAAAATTGAAAGAATTACGATGATAAATTGAGGTGTTCATAACGAAACAATACATTAACACATAGGCCTACAATACACAAATACTCAGGAGATTCATTGATTTTAATTTGTATAGGCCTTCATTGACTTTTATAGTTATATACAGTGTCCTGGAATAAGGAAATTAAGGTAAAATAAAGCTGATACGTATAACATATAATTCAATCCGAATCAAAACTGGTTTCATTTGAAGTTGTTTTTTTTTTTAATGAAAACTATTGTTAGAATTACAGTAGGTTTTTTCAAGTGTGTAAATACTATGATTTTTTTAAATAATTGTTCTGCCATACTATAATCCGACTTTTTTTTAAAACAAACAATGTATATGACTTTTACATGTGTCTTTGCAAGCTCAACTAGTTATGAGTTGTTCAAACTACACTATGAGTGTTACTTATGACACAAAACAATGTTACTTTTTAATCACACAATTTTATTGCAAATAGTTTTTTTGCATATTACGTATTTTTTAATGCAATATTGAGAATCCCACAATTAAAAAAATGTCCTCTTTGTTTATTTTGTCTGTGTTTTAAAAAAATCTATCTTCTGATAAGGATTTTATTTTGAAGGCGGAGACCAGAAGTGTTACAGCTCTCCTCCTATAGCTTCACGGTGAGGGAGGCTCCGGAGAGAGTGAGACACCAGAGCCAGAGACAGAGGGAGATGGCTGAAGGGAAGGGACAGTGGACCGGGTCAAGAACGACTTTGGAATCCAGCCTAAGGTGACCTTGATCCTGCAGAGCAGTGTTCAGAGTCCAGAGAAACAAATACAAATCACAGCGATCCGCACACACTGCTGACAGGACACATCTCCAATCATCAGTATCCGCTAATTCCTCCCTGAAGGATTACCAAACTCATCCCTTTTTGGATTTCTGATAAAGAAAAGGCTTTGGATCGGTCCCCGCTGAGTGTGAGTATGTTTCTTCAGATTTGTAATGGCGATGTCATGCATCATAAGGTCAGCTGATCATGTTCTGACACACTTATTGTGTTACAGTAAGGACAATAATTAAAACAAAACCACACAGACCACATCCGTGCGGACATATCCTGATGGTGATGAAGCCACGCCCTCAGACAGCATTCAAATAATATGTTTATGCCCCATGAATGAATGAACCCTGGCCTATTTACTGGGATTCATCCAGCAGCACCATCAGCAGCATTTGCAGCTTGCAGCATTCACTGCAGGACAGTAGCATATTTTTTTACTACTAGAGGACACCGAATAAGCCTTAGACATGTGCTTTCTAAGATATATCTCAATAAATTGCTTTCATTTTGTATTATTTAACAGCAAAAAACCCTTTCAATGTACGTTTATCTCTCTTCACTGTTAGATTTCCAACTATGGTTAAGTAATTGTTTCCCTAACAATGAAAAAACACGAGATATTTCATCAATCCTAAAGTCTGTTGTGTCTAATCAATGTTTTTTACTGAAGATACTTTCAATAGCGTTTAGATGCCAAGAGCTCATCTTTTTGCCCTTTTTTAGGACCTGAGAAGTGGAGTTTTTCCAAGTTGACATATTATAGTTGAGTTGAATAAGGGAAGTGATTTAGGAGTGTTCAAAATGCATAATTTATAATCCCAAATCTGCATGTGCGTGTTGGCAGTTTTAAAACTGACAATCTTCTCATATCCACAGATTATGTAAGACAGGAAGTGCCCACTAAGAAGGTTCAGAGAGTACAACAGAGAGTAAAAAAACAGCTGCCGCAATGAGAAAGACATCCCAAGGTTGTGATGCTGCTGAACAGAGAACAGAAGCATGTGCAAAAGTGTCTGGTCATTATTTTATGATGGTGTGTCACGCATGTGCTTGAAGCATTTGATGTCAGGTGCACTCATCCATCTCCACCTGTCTTTCATCCTGTGTTAGTACAGAGACAGGAACCTATTCATGCGTCTGGCTACAGAGGAAACACAAACACACACAAACACTCACACACACCTTTTCTCTTTCGTCTCTATTTTTATTCCGCTCCGCATCGCTAGCTGTTTGATGTGACAGTCAGGCAGGTGAATTTCATGATCTGATGTGTGGTGTGTTTACTGACTGAAGTCTGCTGAACAGTGAGCCCTGAACAATCAAAACTGCAAGGTCGCTATGCACAAACACATCTACTTCAGATAGGGCACTTAAGAAGTAAAACTGTATTAGTCTGTGTTATGAGGAAGGCCTCCCTTTGAGACTGAGACTCAGGAGATTGCGCTGCAGGGATAGCTACTGGTTCCAGAGTTATATTTAGGGGGGGCTCTATAATGCTAATTTCAGGCTTATATGTATTGTGTGCTGACATGTCTCCATGCTTTAATGTTCAAAAAAGTATCTATTTTTCTCATACTGCCTGTGCTGCAGCACCTCTTTTCACCCTCTGTCTGAAACCAGAGCCAGAGTTGTGATTGGTCAACCGCTTAGAGATGTCCGAACCCTCAGCCACCACGTACAATGTGTTGGAGCGCAAGTGTTACATAGTGATGTCACTGTTATGGAAGGAAACAAAGGAATCCAATGAAGTTGTTTCAGGCAGGAGGGGAGTTTTATTGCTAATAATGGCAATAACAAAGCCAACAGAAACATTCTTTAGTAAACCAAATACAAAATGCTCAAAATAATAGTAATTATCCTATAATAAACGACATAAATACATCGATATTAAGTTAATAGACATGTATAACATGTCACAGTCGCTGTGAGCTGGTAAACATTATCAGGTCTTTCAAACAAACTTGTCAAGCTATTTTACCAAAAACATTGAGAATTGTACCTTCATTTCAACAATGTATCAGGACTTATTTATACCCATGTTAGCATGCATTCTGGCTGCTTACACAGAAACCCCTCGCAGAAAAAAAGCCACTGTTCTGTGCTTTTACTTGTCGCTGAACTCCCATTAGTCCTAAACGTTCATGGATCAGTTAAGTAGTACACTCATTTTATCATGCTCTCATCAGGAGTTGCTCTTAAACCCCATGTGCCTTTTTTCATTTCCTGACAGATGAAGAGTGCTCTCTGTCTGCAGCGCATTGGCTGTAGTTCCTCAGCGAGGTGCAGACTCAGCACTTGAAGTTAAAGAATCTAGGAAAGAGAGAGGCGCATTGATTAGTGTGGACTTTGTGTTTCAGCGACACCAATATGTATGTCTCTGTTAAAAACCTCTCTCCATCCCTCCTTCCTCCAGGTTTGATGTACCTGTCTGTCAGGTGGACCTGCTAGAGCTGCAGCTCCTGAGGCCCATGGCCCCTGTTTCTCTCCTGCAGTGAGAGGTGAGCCAAGCTGGCTTCCCCGGCCCCCTCCCTGCCCCCGGCCCTCGACCTGGACCCCGACCCAGACCCCGATCCTGACGGGCTGCACCCACACGAGGAGCAGTATGTGAGCGAGGCCGAGACCAGCCTGCTCCCACCGCAGCCGGAGCCCCCCGCCTGCAGGGACGCAGAGACCATCACAGGTGTGTGTTTGTGTGTGTGTGTGTGTGTGTGTGTGTGTGTGTGTGTGTGTGTGTGTGTGTGTGTGTGTGTGTGTGTGTGTGTGTGTGTGTGTGTTCGAATGAGAGTGTGTGCTATGGTTTAGGAAACAGAGGCTTGATTTCTGCTTATATTATGGAGTATGGAGTATCTGGAAAGACATTTTATACTATTTATGCTATACTATTACGTATTTTTCTGAGTTTTTTTTTTCCTGCTAAAGTTTGATGTTTTTAATGACATGCAAACCATGATTTTAAATGAACATATTTGACAATTGTTTGTACTTTGTTAAAGGCATACTAAATAATGCAGCTTGAAGCAACATTTGTATTACCTCTATCCATCAACACATTGTCTGCAGTTGTATTGGTTATTATTTGAGCTTAACCTTTTTATCACATAGAAATATTATAAAGGCTATTGTTTGTTGTAAAAAAATTGGAGACGGACAAAAAAATTGGAGAAATACAAACAATAGGAGACATACAAAACATTAGGAGACGGAAATAGGCTAGGACTATGACTGGTTTATGTAAGAAATGTTTTACAATAAGTCCTTTAATACATAATATATAATAGATAGGACATTAAAGAGGCCTGCATGCAGCACCAGGCAGCAGTATATTGAGGTCTGTCCCCCCTGTCCTCTCTGTGCAGATGTGTGTAACAGCACCGACCTGCCAGAGTTCGAGATCATCAGCCTGCTGGAGGAGCAGCTGCCGGTGTACCGGCTGAGGGCCGACACCGTCTACGGCTACGATCACGATGACTGGCTGCACACGCCGCTGGTCGCCCCGGACACCAGGATCGACCTGACCACCGAGCAGATCGAAGAGACCCTCAAATACTTCTGTGAGTCTTGACATCATCTTAATCATCATCGTGCTCCTGATGAAGTGAAGCTTTTAGTGGTAAAATCCAGGCGTTGGAATTGCAGAAATGTAATAAATGACGGAACCTGGAGATTAAACCTGGTAGATTTTCATCTCTGGGGTTAATGGTGGAATATATGGCTTTAAAGTGAAGGATTAAACCACCTGCTTATTTAATCCTTCAATCGCTTCTTGGAAAGATGATCTACTTTAGGGTTAGTTCACTTTTAATTTGAATGACCAAGAATATACTGTAAGGGCATGCTATTATACGTTTAACATTAAGTTAAATAAGGGCTATGGTAGAGTTATTATGGTATAGTTTTACAGTGATATTACTACAGTTGCATCATCTTTCTTGTCATTACAGCTTGTTTTAAAGTTTCCAACCTCTACTTCTCCAAGGAAATTAGTTGCTTAGAAGTAATCTCACAGGCTTGTTAATGCCATACCTCCTTTCTATTTTTGGTTTAATTTTCATTCTTGTAAAACAGATAATGATTCTGCTTATTGGCTCAGGACGATCAATACGTCCTCTGGTCATTTTGCGCTCTTGCTGCCATATAACCACTCTGCGTTATCCTTTGTCTCAGAGAGCAGATCACTCAGAGGCTTTCTCAAACAAACCGTTTTAAAAGGTTTGCCATTAATATTGATACTTGTTGTTTGTTTATTATGTGTTCTGAATGCTTCTACAGCACTTAAGGATGAAGTTACCGGGTTTTTATATTTCAAAAAGGGGATTTTATATGTGTCTCAATAGTGACAGTATTCTTGGCTGATTTTCCAAGAGATCCGCAGGAAAATCAAATGTAAGCAAAATAGTAATACAAATACATAGTGCAGGTTTATTTTAATACACCTGATAATATACCCTCCCTCCACAAGGTGGTGCCATGCTTCATAGGAAAAACAATGTTGAGTACAGTATGTGCTCCGTGATTATTTTAAAGGGGCCCTGTTACGCTAATTTTCAGAGAAAAATCACAGGGATTTGATCCTTTACAGACCATTTAGTGTGTGTGTGTGTGTGTGTGTGTGTGTGTGTGTGTGTGTGTGTGTGTGTGTGTGTGAGTGTGTGTTCAAGGTTCTTTATTGCCAAACTAACATAGCTACAGAGTAATTATGTCGTTGAAAATCTTAGGTCACAGGCTTCTCCAACAATGCAACACAATAATACAGATAAGCAGACAATATTANCACACACACACACACACACACACACACACACACACACACACACACACACACACACACACACACACACACACACACACACACACACACACACACACACACACACACACAACCACACTTTCTCATATCTCCGCCTCCATGTGGGCGGAGGGTGGAGCAGCTGAGCAGCAGAGAGAGTAGGAAAGGACAGTGAATGCATCACCGCTTGTTGTTCCTCTTTCATCGTGGAGGTCAGGGAAGAGATGGACAACAAGAGCAGGATGGAGATATTGTCCAGGGATAAATGCTGTGACTGGTACTATAAGGAGGAGCAGAAAGGTGAAGTACATGTCGAACATATGAGAAATTAGAGACAGGGTTAAGTAGATTGGTGAATGGCAGTGGTGTACATTTACTCAAGTACTGGACTTTAGTGGAACATGTAGTTATTTGTACTTTACTTGAGTATTTTCACATAATATAAGCTACTTAATTATTTTACTTCATTACGTTTTGTAGGCAAATGTTGTACTTTTTACTTCACTATACATTTACTTTATATATTTAGATATTAGTTAAATTGCAGATCTTAGGTGTTTAGGTTATTAATACAAAAATCTGCACACATTTTATTATAAGTTATGATACCCAGTAGTGTTTAAAGTTGTTCAAATAAACCTCACCTTTACCAAGTGCAAATTGATAATAATTATTAATTATTATAATAATTTTTGCATAAAGAGTACTATTTTTTAATGGTAATACTTTTTTACTTTGACTTAAGTACAACTTTGAATGCAGTACTTTTAATGAGTATATTTACAGTGTTGTAATGCTTTGACTTAAATTCAACAACAATCTGAGTACTTCTGGTGAATGGTGGCATTTGATGTTATTTCTAGTACTTTGATTTCAGTTTAATGCACAGTAGACTGGACTGCAAGATGTCCGTTAAAGTTAGTTTGATGACAGAAACAAATTACATTAAAACATTTGATTATTTCAGGATTTTCCGGATCTTTAGCAACAAATAAAACACCATTTAGTAACAGTGTTGTGTATTCCTGCTTAACTTTACACTGCAGCTTGTCTCTTCTTTTCTCTTCTTCTCATTAAGAGGAATCTTCCTGAAGCCTACTGACTTTGAATTTGCTCTGTTTTGACACATCAGCCCTCGAGCGCACACACATATCCCTACAGTCCACTAATGTGCCTGACTGAGACAGAGTAGATCGTTTTTGAACATTCAATAAACTCATTTGTGCTTTAATAAAACGACAATTACATTTGTTTTGCTCTGGTTGTAATACTAACAGGAGGACTCAGAAGCGTCACAGTACATCCAATAACTTTGTCAACGCATGTCATTGATTTCAGCTCTGAAGTCGATAAGAGCTCAGAGGCAAATCCTCTGCCCTGCTCTCTCATACATAACGTCAATGGTGATGGAGATGTTACATCCTGACCATGACCCCCTCCCCACCTCTGAAAGGATGACTATATATTTATTTTTTATGTAATGTGTTTGCATGCCCCCCACACCAGAAGAAATAACATGAAAGGTGATATCAAGCATGACTCAGCGTTTTCTCTCCGACTGAATGTAGCTCTGCATATTATCAATGGTGTAATTAAATAGGCTTTATTAGCAATACATTTTACAATCAGTGATGATTTATAAAGGGACAATGATTATACAAAGGCAGTTTATAATAAAATGTAAGTTTATATAATTCAATATATAATGAAAGAAGTAAATTCAATAAATAAAATATTTCAATGTTGCTAAGACAAACAAATGCAGGCATTAATCGATACAAAGAGAGGTTGGTAGGGATAATACAACATTTTACATTTCCTTTTTATAAGAAAAGAAAATCTACTGATAAGAGACTGTGATAACCTATGCTAACTGTGTTTATAAATATCTGTCTATATTTCCTTCTGGTTGTCTACTTTCTGGGGCAGGAAGTGACGCATACTGTATAGCCAACACTGCCCATTTAAATTATATTTGTTCAACTATAATGAGGGTAATTTCTACTTTTCTGTCAGTCTTCAGAACTTGGGAGGATTAAGTATAGTATATTATAAGTATTAGTTAATTATTGGAAGAATTCCTCACTTATATTCCTGCAGTTTTGAGTGTTATTCTGACCATTTATCTCTCTAACTTTTTGTCTTTTCCACAGTACTATGTGCAGACAGAGTGGGCCAGATGACGAAGACCTACAATGACATCGATGCTGTCACACGTCTGTTGGAGGAGGTGAGACGGCCTGTTATTGCACAATTTATAAGTGTAATTCAAAGCTGCGCCAGGGATTTATAATAAGCCTAAACAACGGAGAGGTTTTGCACCGTAGTTCACCCAAATTGTATAAACAGTTTCTAGATAACTGTGATCGAATAATTTGCAAAATACCGAAAGCAGTGAGTTCATTTTGCTCTAAAAGTACCAACAGTTAAGGTCGGATTAGTACCTGCAGGGGCCCCTGGGCACTGAGCGCTCATGGCCCCCCACCCCCCCCAACCAGTGGCGGACTAGGGGGAAAAAGTGGCCCGGGGTTTAATTGACAGACAGGCCCACTTAATGCGTGGCATATTGTATTTTCTTTCAAATCCAAGCGGCCCTCCGGCCCACGCACAGCACCGGCCTACTGGGAAAACTCCCGGTATTCCCGATGGCCAGTCCACAATTTGTGGACTGGCCATCGGGAATACCGGGAGTTTTCCCAGTAGGCCGGTGCTGTGCGTGGGCCGGAGGGCCGCTTGGATTTGAAAGAAAATACAATATGCCNAGTGGGCCCAATAGCCGTAGCGCCACTTCTGTGACGTCATAGAAGTGTTCAAATCTGGATCAGTCTGTGGCGATTTCTCACTCTTGAGGATTCTGGCTTCCAAGCCAATATTTCAAGGATGCTACGTCATCGAGTGCCGCCGAAGTACTGTTCCAATGTCCAGCATACTTGGAATTCCACAAGGCCGCTTCCTTGGTTTGAGGGAAATTTCGAGGCTGCACGTGGGTAGACTTCGCGTCCCTAAAATCCCCACAATGCTTTGCGCACGGACCAATTTCAAAATCCCTTGCGGAGAATGGCTGAACTGACGCATCACACATTTAAATGTAAGTATGTAGTGGCGTAGAACATGTGTTGGTAAATATGTTACTTTGATACATTTGTTATCACCAAAAATGTGTTCCGTGAAAGTAAAGCAAGTTCATAATTAGATAGACATCGTGAGGTATTTATTTTCGGTATAGTTTATGTTGAAACCGTTAGAGAGAGTGGCATTCTTCTTCGTTTTCCGAAACCGTGGCTTGGAAGCATTCTTGCTTCATTTCTGAAGGAAGTGACTTGGAAGTACGCGACTACCAAGCCAGCATCCTCGAGATTGAGAAACGGCCTCTGTCTGAAACCAGAGCACAGTCTGCTCTTATTGGTTAGCTGTTTGGCTCTGTTGTGATTGGTCAACCGCTCATAGATGTCCCGCACCTTGCGTATAGCGTACAATGTGTTGGAGTGCTAGCCAATAATAGCGCAAATGTAACAAAGTAATGTCACGTTGTCTATACTGTAGTAAACAAAGGAGTCATTCCTGCACACAAACCTGTATAACACACTACAGGAAAGGGAAACCCAAAAAAGCATAAAAGAGCTGTTTTGAGGAACAAACTTACTTACTTTGCCTGTTCTTTTAATAAACTCCAGTCATGTTTTGCAATTCAAGTGATTTATGGGAACACAAGCTTAACCACTATTTGAGCAGAGGCGCTTGAACAGTCAGTGAGTTTAATAGGCTGGAAACCTCTTTGGCAGCTGCTTTTTAAATGAAAGCACAGCTCAGGTGTATTAGCTGTAATTCACTGACATAGGGTCCTGTCAGTGGTAACAAATGGCAGGGGGACGATGGGCTAATGTGTGAGGTACACCTCCAGGACCACTCAGACCTACAAAGTGGCTGACTGCAGCCCATTATAACATAATATAGTCTTTTGCTATTAGTAGATCCGTATGGGCCCAGTGCTCCTGAGTCAGGAAGAATACAGAAGAACAGGTGGGAAAAAAGTTTTTAAAAGAGCAGTTTGGAGTCTTTTTATAACTAAAAATGTTGTCTCAGAAGAAAAAAGTCAGATTTCAAAGGGAAAAATCGACTATATAATCTTCATCTGCAAGCAATTAAAGAGGCCGCATTATGTTCATTTTCAGGGTGATATCTGTATGTTGTGTCTCTACTGTGACTGCGTGCATGCTTTAATGTTCATAAAGCTCTTTATTTGTATCATACTGCCTGTGCTGCAGAACCTCTCTTCACCCTCTGTCTGAAACCAGAGCCCAGTCTGCTCTGATTGGTCAGCTGGTCGGCTCTGTTGTGAAACAGTGGAGGAAACACATGGATTTCAGGTTTTGCAGACCATTTACATGCAAGAAAACACTACAGGGAAGAAACCCGAAAAGCACAACAGGGCCTCTTTAAGTTTACCCGACTGGCCATTTCCCCACAAAGTAATTTAAATGTATGCAAGATAAGACAAGGTGAAAATAAGGCACGTTTTTGTAACTCTTTTAAGTTACTCAACCGACTCATATTTCAAAGAGTAATGCCCCCTCCTGTCAGAGTCAATGTCGTTCACAGCAAGGACGTTTCATTGAAGTGCAGCACACATTGTTGTTAAACTCTTACCCCGGTGATGATAAAGGTAATCATTCACCCCACAATCATAATGTCATTTCACGTCAAAAATCCCATTATTATTAAGTAATGACTAACCACTAATAGGGTCTCAATTTGTCTGTTGATGTGCTCACAGCTGTTGGGATTATTACTCTTTGATGTAATTGTTATTGCATGAAAATACTGAGCAGATTGGTAAATGTATTAATTCATTTACATTCACAGGACCAGAGAGCACCATCACATGGGGGTTTTATACCCATGTGCGCGCTTCCATTGTTAACAATCAGCGAGATGTAATGATAATTGGAATGAATAATATATTTGTGCGCCATACCTCCAAGGGCACTGTTTACTGCACACATGCACATACAGTAGAAGCTTTAATATGTGTATATACGCCCACACAAGTGCACATATACTGGACAAAAAGACCTGCTCACACACCCTCACATGAACAAGGAGACACAGCAGGGTGCTCTCATTAGCCTGTGCTAATGAACATACGTTCAATATTGCTTAGTCCTGCATAAACAGACAAAGTAATCAGGGCTTTTTTGGGAATAAATATAAAAATGTATTGCAGTTGTTATGTACAAATAACCATGACATTATATAACACACTGAATAATATGTTAGCATGTTATGAAAGAGGTATAGTCTGAATAGAAAGGGCTCATATGGGATCAGACATTGTTCTTTGTTGTAAGCGCTTAAGTTTGCATCTTACATCCTAAATCTTGGATCATATTAAAAACCCTGATTGTACTTCCTTACCCTAATAACCAATCACAGCCTCCCGGCAGCTTTTTATACTCAAGCCGAGGCCTAGCCTGTAATAAAGGGCGCCTTGCTGTCATGTCACAATACATTATTACACTTCTATGAAATACAGCATGAAAAAAAAAACATTCAAGATGTGGGGTTTGAAAGAATATGCATTTAGGTGCATGGGCGGTCCTAAAGGGGGCCAACCGGGTCCAGTGCCCCTGTAACACTGAGCTTAAACCTTGCAGTGCCCCCCCTCGAAAATAATAATCTATCAAAATGCCATTTGTGATAGTGTTGAAGCCTGGGCCAAAGTTAACAAGAATGTTAAGAACTGTAGTTAAGTTACTGAGAAATACCAACAAATATCAAGAAATACAATTCAAGAAAAGTTTGTCTGAAGTTTTCTTTGTGTGATAACAATAACATCTTTGGTTTATTCACTCTAACCTTGAGTTTCGCTCCTCATTGTGTTGCGTCTTTCGAGCCAGTCGTAAAACTTATAGTCAAACAAACACAAGTAATGGCATTTGATGTTTTTTTGTGCGCTATGACTTTTTTACATTACATTACATGTCACTTGTTAGACGATTTTATCTAAAACCACTTACATACTCAATACTGTGGGCAATCCCCACAGGAGCAATTTGGGGTGAAGTGTCCCAGGGACGCAACGACATGCTGACTGCAGTGGGGTTTGAACCTGTGACCATCTGATCCCAACACCAACGCACAACCCACTGCAACCATCACTGTTTAGATATCAGGATGGTGTAATGAAAGAGAAGGGTCAACATTTGTTGCCTTATGGGAAATACAGGACTATTATGTAGTAAGAGTCAGGATATCTCATCCTCAGTCTGGTCCTTTTTTTATTTTCCTCAAGTGCAGCCCCTATTTTTATGAATGTACAATTGAAAATCACTGGAGTACCTCAGCCTTTAACCACTAATTTGATCAAAGGAAAATATGTGTGCCATTCAACTCCACAGGAAGTGCTTCGTCAATCCCATCATACCTTCACTAATTAATTAATCAAATAAACGTAAAAAGATGTCAGGTATAGAAAAAGATTGGCTATTTTATACATTTTAGATTGGTCTTGTGTACCCTGTAATAAAAGAGAAAATGAACATAAACACACTTGAACATATTTAAATGTGAGTTCCAGTATTCAACATTTTCAATACGCGGTGAAGTGGACCTGCATCTGTATTCATTTCATGATTCAAAGCTGATGAAAGCACGGAGAGTGCCGAGCCTTGAAGATTGGATTTTAGAAAATCATGAAAACAAACAAACGCAGAGTGAGCATGAAGCCAGCAATGCATGTACTGTATGCTCGAACACACACACACACACACACACACACACACACACACACACACACACACACACACACACACACACACACACACACACACACACACACACACACACACCTAGAATCTACTCCTTGCATACAAAATGGAATTTAACTGGTTGGCAGAGCAACGCAGTGTAATTTTGTCGGAGTGCAAAATGGGTTTTGATTACAGGCCTGCGGAATAACAGTTGACCCTCTTATCCAGCACAGAGAAGATGCAGTTCATCCTCACTGTGTCATCCTCTGGCCCTTTAGAGAGTAATGAGAGCCTGTCTGAACCAGCGGACCTTCACTCCCTGCACTGTTAGCTCCTCACAACATGATACAGAGCCGGCACAGAGGTTTCTAAATGAGCTCTGGAAGTCTCAAAGGTCCTGCAAGTCATGCCGGATTCTGACAATCTGCAGACGAGCACTTAAAGGGGAACGTTTTATGTGGATGTCTATGATTTCCCAGTA